ATTTTCCTATGCCGGGTAGCCTAATCTACATGCCTCTGTCATCAGAGGCATGTAGTCTAGACGTACCCATAGCTCAGCAGGAGGGTTGGAACCTGTAATTCCATCAATCAGATCTCTGCCATGTGACATAATGGAGTCCTGATTGCAGTAGTACATGATCATACTCTGTGTGGGCCAGCATGGTGGTGGAATGGGGCGAGGATTTGGGCCGCTTAGCCAATGGATTTCACAGGCCTTTGCTGACAGCAGTGAATTGATGAGGCCCAGTATTCTTGGTTCCATTCCAGCTCTGGAGGGCACTTTGCTCTAGTGGGCACAGACTCTTCTGCCTCTTTTCCCTGCCTTCTAGTCTGTCCCATTCGCCTCACCTAGCCAGTCCCAGGCTCTACTCATAGGCTTCTCATCTCAGTCCCAAAACCTTTGTCCAGCAAGTCCTAAACTCGCCCCTCTGGAATTCTTGACCCAGTCTCCCCCACTCCCAGACTGCTTGTGCATCCATTCCCGGTTCCTCTCTAGTCTCCCAGCTCTTTGTCCCCAGCCTACTTGCTCGGCCAGCCCCTGTCTTTCTTCAGCCAGTGCCAGTCTCCTCCCACGCCCATGTGGCTACAGCCCATACAACTCCCTGGCTGAAAGTCCCAACCTCCTCCTATCTCTCATTCCCAGTCTCCTTGCCCAGCCAGTCCATCTGCCTCTGCACTTGAACTCCTAGCCCCTCTTCCCTCTCTGCTTGACAGTCCTGTCTTCACCCCTCTTCCCACCCCGCTTCATGTCCTAATCTCCTCCCCCACCTCTCCTTGCAGATTGGGCTCTTGCTCTCTTTGCTGTCTGAGCCCAGCAGCAAAGTCATTGACATCACTGTAGAGACAGGCTTTCTTGCTGTCAGTTCAGGTGCCTAATCCAGCTCTGGTATGCAGGGGAAGTCCTGCGTAGCTCTGACTGGAGTGTGGATGGAACCTTTGGGGAAGGTAGCTGCTGAAATCTAAGAAATCTCTTTTGACATTGTAAACTGTGCTATTTTTCAAGGCTTAAAACTTGACCAAATCTTGGTGGACTTTCACACAGCTCGCAATGGCCACTGAAACAAAGATCAGCTCCCTGACAAATTTCAAGGCCCTTCTCTGGAATATGGGAGTGCTAGATGCTTTCATAGAAAAAAAAGGTCACCAGAATTTTTCAACATAGGTAAAACAATGCATTTTACCATAGCTTTGTTCTAAGAAATGGCTGGATCGTTTTGTCTGAAATGTTCCAAAAAAGTTCAACCTGAGGCAAGTTTTATGCATGGAAAATGTCAGCCCACAAAGTCTGGCAAAACTATAAGCAACTGGAAAAAAAAAGTCATATAATAGGAAATGTTGAACAACTTGACTAATAGGCGGGCTATCTGCCCTGCTATAATAAAACATCAGAAATCTGTTCTGGTCATTTGTCTAGCTGTTATCATTGATCAGTGTACTGGAGGCTTTCCAGTAGTAGTTAGTTTTAAGGAGGATTAGAAATGGTAGAAAAACTGTCTCTGAAGAACAGATTTTTCAGCATTCTCCAGTTCTGTGTGTGAAATGAATTGGGTGAGAAGCAAATGTTGTTTGCCTTCAAGTAGCCATTTATTATACACTGAGCCCAGTGAATGTTCCCTGACTTCTCTTTGAGGATTCGGCTCCCTTTCTGTCCTTCACAAAAGCTCCATGTTGTACAACCCTTCTCCCTACTCTTGAGGAAGGTTGGATGAATCCAGCCTTATTGCTTCTAAAATCAGCTCCAGGGGGAGTTTGAGTAGGTATTGAGTTACTGGCCTACTGGAAAGGGAGGGAGGGAGACTTATGTCTCTCTTGTGGTCGCATATTGTGCCCTCACTAGACCCAGTTCTGAAACAGTAGACACTACGGCTACGTCTAGACCGACATGATTTTCCGGAAATGCTTTTAACGGAAAAGTTTTCCGTTAAAAGCATTTTCGGAACAGAGCGTCTAGATTGGCACGGATGCTTTTCCGCAAAAGCACTTTTTGAGGAAGCGTCCGTGCCAATCTAGATGCGCTTTTCCGCAAAAAAGCCCCGATTGACATTTTCGCGATCGGGGCTTTTTTGCGGAAAACAAATCTGAGCTGTCTACAGTGACTCTTTTGCCCAAAAGTTTTGCGCAGAAGGACTTTTGCCTGAACGGGAGCAGCATAGTATTTCCGCAAGAACACTGACAATCTTACTTGAGATTGTCAGTGCTTTTGCGGAAATTGAAGCGGCCAGTGTAGACAGCTGGCAATTTTTTCCGGAAAAGTGGCTGATTTTCCGGAAAAACTGGCCAGTCTAGACACAGCCTACTGCTATAGCAAACTAGCCCCACTCAACCAGCCATATAGCCAGATATGGCTAGTGTCTAGTGTCGGGGACTTCTAACCCAGGCGGCTTCAGTTCGTTGTCTGACTGCAAAGAGACAGGCAACACCAGCAAGGTCTAATCACAAAGCTCTTTATTGAAGAGTGCACACGACAATAGAGCAGCCCGTCTCCACTGAGAACTAGCCCCCGATTTCTATAGCAAGTAGGGTTATATAGACACTTCCGTCGCGTCATAGACTATTTACTTAAGCAACCCACCCCCCTTTGTTAATTAGAAAACTTCTAGTATGGATGCATACCTTGCCAACTGTACAAGATGGCCTTGATACATTAGCAACTTTCTTATTAAGACAGAAGGGAAGTACCAGACAATGAGGAGACAGGGAGTTTTCTTATCAGTTCCTTAAGCAAGCTGTTCAGCTCAGCAAGTACAAAGATGCAGCTGTTCGCTTATCTCATGCCCTTGCTTAACTCATGTCTCAGATTTTGTTCAGGGACTACCCAGAACCCTTTGCTGGACTCTTCTCGGTCTGTCTTAGCATAACTGCCCTAGGCCCACTTTTCTGTTGCCTAACACTAGCATGTTGGAAACCATGGCACTAGACTAATGGATTGACCAAGATTCTCATTTTATTTGCCCCTTGCCTGCCGAGCAGAGCAGCTCTGAGGTTCACATTTTCTTCTCCTTTCTATGTTGTGTCATTGGTAAATTTAACAAGTTTGTATCTGGAAGCTTCGTCTGTGCCATTTGTTACCAGTGGGTAAAGTCTAAGAACAGCCTGTTGTTGTTGACAAAATCCTGCTTTCACTTCTTGGCTTTACCTATTGCTGCATTTCAACTTGGGTCCCAAATACTGTTGATTTCAGGAGCAGCCTATCGGGTGTTTAATCAAAGGTGTTCCGGAGAGCTGGATAAACTGCTGTATACTTCAAAACTCTCAGCTGTACTTGCAAAAGGGTTGAGAATATTATGTAAACTGGATCTTTTTTGACTCCCTAGATTTAACTGTACCTTACTGGCCCTAGAATCAATCAGGAAATTCCATTTTCTGCTGATCCTGTCTTTTGGCCAGACCCTCAGCTGGTGTAAATTGTCATGGCCCCACTGGAGTCAATTGAGCTACAATGATAGAATGTGGCATGCATCTGTTGAGCTATGATGAGTTAAACCAGCTAAGGGTCTCGAGCTTTGTTTCTGTAGGTAGGAAGCAGAACCTCATTTATCCAAATGAAACCAGCAACATAGAATTTATTTGGATAAACAAGTTCAGAAAAGAAGGGGAAATTTTTCACAAACATAATTAAATTCATTGTCCCTAAGAAGCTCATAAACTGTAGTTTTCAAATATGCAATCATAGAAGTGAACACAACCCATGGGGTTTAAGGTAGTAGATTCTACAACATATGTTATAATTCAGCCTTCGTCTTCAATACTATCTTTATTTCTACTTGAGAGATTCCTCCCAGTCACACTGCAATAACATCTCGGAGCGTGTAGCGTACATAAGAGTTTTTTCCTCTGACATTTTTCTTGACTTGTGACCAAAGATGTGATCATTTTAGTCTGAAAATAAAAGTCAGATCTGTGATCCAGTATCAGGCCCAGCTAATATTGCCTTTCTCGATGTGCGTGATAGCTATATTCGTGGCCTCTGAATGTGCATATTCAATTCTGCATGTGCAGAAATGAGCAAGCATTGGTTTGGTGGTCACAAATCAGGATATTTGTGATTTTGTTTAACAGTGCAAAGCAAATGCATGCCTACAGTGGCACACACAATATCAGAGACTCATTTGATCTTCTCTCTGATTGCTCATTTCCGTCAGGTGGGATTGGTGCACACAGCATGGCACTATGTGGCCCAGAGTGTGACTCAAGATGTATCCTTAGCCAGTGTGAAACTGAAAATGTGTACGATACTTGAAGACAGAGGCAAAATGTTAAGTGGTGATGCTGAGTATGTGTGTGTATAATAATGTCAAATTATAAAATGTTCTTTCCCCTGTACTTTGCTCCATATATGGGATGCTAATGATGATAGCTATAATCTCATTGCCATATGAGCATTGTGTGTGTGAATATGGAACCTTCAGACCAACATTTAGAAGATGCATGTTTTAGCTTTAAGGTACCCTTAGATTCCATCATCCCATTGTAGTTAATGTTCACTGATTCAAATAGATACACGTACTGTAAATCCACTACTATTCTGTGTGTGAATATGTGTAGGATCTATTTACATATTCCCAACTACTATTTCCTGCTTCCTTCCCTTTCCAGTACATGGCATGTATTCACGTTTCCTGTATTCAGAGCCTGCTCTGTCAAGAGATACTATGTTTATAATATAGTCATTAAAATTGAGCAAAGTCCTTGCATTTTCTTTATTAACTAGTACACTGATTTTGTATAGCAGAAATTGCAAGACGTTGATTGGATTTAATTAACTTTATTTTAAATTACATACACTAATGACAGTAGACAATAGTGCAGCATGTTCATAAGCAGTAAAATCAGTGCCCGTACTGTTACATTATTAAACCTTAATGAAACTGTTCATAGCAGAAATTGTATTTATTATTTAGCTGTATGCAAGTAGAAAAACAGAGTTCTTTGCAAAGCCAGGAATACTGTTTGCTAAAGGAGCATTCTGTCTGTTCTTAGGTATGTACTCGGAAGATAGTGAAAGGCGCTACAGTTGGTAACCTCTTGGCTTTGCCTGCCTCTCATCAAATGGCTTCTCCCTTACCTATATTAGAAAGAGATAAAAGGAAAGGTCAGTTATAGATACCTAATCCTATTGATTTTAAGATGACAAGATGAAATGCTGAGCTCTTAGGAGGCAAGGTTGTCTTCTGGGCATCAAGACCTTGTGGGAGCTGCCCTGAGAAACCACTTAGGGTACGTCTATACTTGCTCCCTAGTTCGAAGTTGGGATGCAAATGTAGCCGACCGAAATTGCTAATGAAGCGGGGATTTAAATATCCTGCACTTCATTAGCATAATCTTGCCCACGCCCTATTCCGCTCACCAGCTAATTTGAACCAGGAAGTGCGCTCCAGGACGTGTTAGTTCAAATAAAACCCCTTGGTTCGAACTAACTTTACTCCTCGTTTTTTGGACATTACTCCTGGCGAGCGGAATAGTGCGTGGGCGAGATCACGCTAATGAAGCGCGGGATATTTAAAATCCCCTCTTCATTAGCAGTTTCAGTTGGCTACATTTGCATCCCTAGTTCGAACTAGGGAGCAAGTGTAGACGTATCCTAGTGTCTCTGAGCCTCAGATTCTCCATTTTACAGGCTGGCACTATAATATCTGTTTCATAGGAATGTTGTGAGACTGTATTATTTTAATGTTTGTAATGTGCATTGAGATTGGTTGAGAAGAGAACTGAAAGGCATTATCGTCAGTAACGGGAAAGGGCCAAATTGAGACTGCTCATCCCATGCATGGATATATGGGAACAGCTGGCAAGTTCAACTGTTCTATCCTATGTCAGGCTCTCCCAAAACCAACAGCATTTCTTAACAGCTGCTCTCTGGAGCTCCAGAAAGTGAGTTAGGAGACATGGTTGGTATATTTAACACATGGCTTCTGGAAGCCAGTGATCCACTTCTTGCACAGTGTTGTTGTTGCTTCTGGAAAGGAAAAGCTGTAAAGGAGGCTGTCTGTGAAGTTG